TCCTAAGAGGTTTAGTATTTTTGCTTGTTTAGTTTCAATCCAAAGGATGAGAATTCTACATTGACTCTTTATGTCAAGTGTTGGCTTCTTGTTGGTTAGATTGTTCTTTTCCTTAGCTTTTACCTTGTGCTTTAGGATAATCCATTCATCTCCTCTCATCTTCTTTAATTTCAAAAAATCATCTCCCTCCTTTTCAAAACTCTTCTTGTTTTTCTAACTTGAACCATTTTCATAATAAACTTGGACTTAGGTCCATGCATTTTCAAAAAAAAATATTTTCTTAATCAAACTTTAACCAACTTAATCATACTTTGATATTTTTTGTGAGAAGACTAAAAGTCAAATAACCTCATTCAAACTATTTAGCCACTTTGCCTTTTTACTTTAAAATTTTTTTCTCAAAAGATTAGACTTTTGTCGATTCTTGTAGTGATGTGAGCTGCTATACTTCTACAATATATAGTGAGGTGAGACATTTTCTATTAAGATGTTGAGTGAGGCTTTGTTGATTTTAAAATTCAAGCCATATTCTCAACTTTGAGATGATGCAAAATCTCTTTTCTCATAATCGTAAGTATATTTTCCACTCGAATATGACGATGATGTCTCTTCTCTTAAAATTAACCAACACACTTGTGTTTTAAAATTTTTAAGGTGAAGTACGAGTACCCTGATCCCCTATTGCATGGAAGATGGTACGTAGGCACTAAAGGTTCGCAACTACGGCAGGTGCAAAAATTGTAAAAAAAAATACTTCTCTTCTCATCTCCACCATCTATTTTTTGTATACATATTTTATAGCTAAAATACATAGATTTTTCAAAGAGGTTTCTCCATAGTACTGTAGATGTTTAGGATGCTAATATTTTTCCTTTGCATAACTAACCCCCATACCTAGATTATCTCCCTCTCTTTTTTGGGTTTATTCTCTCTTTTCCCATTTCCTTTGGAAACAATAAAGCGCGGTGGTAGTTTTTTATTTGATTTGTACGAGTTAAGTCAATCTAATGACTTAGTCTCAACATTTCTACCGCTACAACTGTGAAAAAAGCTTTTGAACTGGAAATATGATATTTCTATTCTACCCTCCAATGAATTTATTTTTGACTATAATAGGAAGACTTGGATGAATTGAAAAACAACGAATTTGCACTGAATCATTCTGCTAAAATGCTGCTAAAATTTCATTGTAAATCTTTTGTAAAGTTTTGTAAAGCAAAGAAAATTTATTCGTTAACTTGCTAACAATGAATTGTTGTTCACTAACTTTCTCTTAACACTGTTGTGTTATTATCTGTACTTCATTTTCGTGTTATATACTTTTAAGAAGCAATATTGTAAACACACAAATTTGAATTCAATAGTGAGTTGATTGTTTCTTGAGAGACTATGGCTTTAGTCATAATTCTCAAGAAGACATTGACAGATAGTCTTTGTGGTTGTAAACATTGACAATTGGTATTTTGATTTTGTAATCAGTTTAGTTATAGTGGATTAAGTCCTTGTTGAGAAAGGCAAATCACTTTGGTGGGTGGACTGAATTAACTTAGTTAACAGTGAATCAAAATCAAAATAATTGTGTTCATTTATTTTTCTTCTTGTGTTAACTTCAAATGTTTGATTTTGAAAATATTTTATTTTTAGAAAATCTATTAAAACCCCCTTTCTTGTGTTTCTTGCACCTTCATAAATAAGTTGCTGACAAACGCAAAAGAGTCAAAGTTTTCAATGTATGAGATGATGTGATTGTGTTTCTGCGTAAGGAGAGGTTTTCAGTTGGTACTTACAGCAAGTTGCAGCCTAATGAAGCTCTTTATCAAAAAGAGAACTCGGATTCGAGTTCTTCAGAAGTGAATAAGACTAATGTAGGAGGGGTTGTCTACGTGTATTGAAGGAGAAGCCGCGCGTCAGAATGGTTCAGAAAGATTTGCGCAAGTTTGACGTCCGATGTCAGAATGACTCATATTATACCTTTTCAAAAAGTGAATCGACCTAGGAGTCAAATTAATAATTTACAATGATCTATGGGTTTTAAGCCATTTGAGTTTGTTTCAGGCCTGAAAACATCATATTACTATTTTCTACAATTTTAGCAATTTTTATTTTTATTTGTTTTATTTATTTAATTTAGTTTTGGATAAAAGACCCATAATGACCATTAAAGTTATTTTTTTTATGTATTTAAAGACCTTTGACTTTACCATAAGGATTATCTTTCATTATAATAAAATTCATAGTTTTATTTTCTCTTTCTGGTGGATTTCAGAGCTTATCTGACAGGTTTTGCGTTTACAACCTTAGTTTATTCTAGGTTTAGCGCTTGCTATTTCTTTGGAGTTTTCAACTGTGTCAGTATGTCTGCGTGTTGTGGAGATGAGTAGAGGAGACATAGAGGCATGGCTCTTTAAGGATGATTCTTTCCAGTTGGTCCTCTAGCAGACTATGGTTGTCGAGTTACGAAATATTATGCAGTACAGGCGGAGGAGGAGGCAAGCAGTTAGACATACCTATTAGTTTATATTCAAATGTACTTTTTTTTTTGTATTTTCAAATGTATTTTCAGACTCCTGTTACGTATGAATTATCTTGACTTTTTTTTTATTAATGTATGAATTTTTATCCTCCTTTAACTTTAATTTAACTTTGATTTTACGGTAATTTAAATTAATATAAGTCAATGTATGAATTTTGGCCTCACAAAAATTGAATGTTTAGACAATGAAGTTGTTCTGATATGAATTAGGGAGGATTTTGGAGATGCATCTCCAAAATAGTCCCCTTTTGTATTTATCAAGCCTCCAGAAATTTTCTGAGGAGATTTCAGAGATGCATCTCCGAATACACTCAAATATCTTATGGAGATGTATCTTCAGATCATAGTTTGTTCAAAATAAGATGAATCTCAGAAAAAACACATTTTAGTTGTGATTTATGTGTTTGGAGATACATCTTCGGATGCACGAAGAACTTTTCAGATTTTCAAGAGTGTGGTATGGTTATGTATGAACCTATTGAATAATTCCTTAATATAAGACTAGCATTTTATATATAAAAAATTAGCACCATAAACTAAAATGAATGGTTTAATCTTGAATATTTCGATACGATGATAATTTAAAAAAAAAATTCTTTAAATTCTACATTATTAATTATGTATGAGTATGTTAATTTAGAAAACTCTAAATTTCACATTGATTAGACGATATAATACTATTTTATTATATAAAGAATGCAAAACTGAAAAAAATTCTTTTAAGTTTTTCTTTTCTCACTTTCTTAATTCTGCATTTTTGATCTGTCGAATAGTCAAATTTTTTCTCCTTTTTTTACTTATTAAACTTTATTTTCCTTATTTAAGAAACTATAATATCTTTTTTTTTTAATATTTGAATTTTTTTTTATTTAAAAAATTATTTTTCTTATACTAAATATTACAGGTGATATTTATAATATATTCAATTGGTCATTATATTATCTCGGGGTATTTATATATTGATTAACATTATAAATTAAAATGAGTGATTGAATTGTGATTTGATTTATATTCTTCTCTACCTTGGAAAGGACACTCTTCTTCCACCCTAATTTTTTCTTAAAAGTATCTTAAATAGTTGTCGAAAGGATCTCTAATTTGTACACACTATGACAGACCCAAATGACACAATAGAAGTATTTCTTTTCATTTGTATACTAAAAGAATACTACGATGGCAGTCTAGAATATCCCAGCAGTCAAATGTTAACAGCAGGATAATCCTAACCATTCATTTTTCATAGTAATTTTTAAATGTTTAATGATATAAAATATGTACCATTTGATTTAAATCATATGATTTATATTATCTTAACTGTGTGATAGTGTGGTTCCCTGACTGCATGACTGCAGGGAATCATATCCCTCTAATTGAAAATGGATTCCCTGCATTCAAATATTAACTGCAGGGTAATCCTAACCATTCATCTTTTATAATAATTTTTTAAATATTTAATGATATAAAATTTGCAGCACTTGATTTAAATCATAAGGCCTATATTTTCTAAACTGTGTGACAGTCTGGTTCCTGATTAAAGGGAATCATGGTTCTCTCTAATTCCAATATCATCACGTGTATACAATAGGATATATTGGTCTTGAAACGCTTTTCTATTAAAAAACAGGTGCAAACAAATATAAGCATAAAATGAGACCAAATGGAAAAGATTGTTTGTAACAAACATTTCTAATCTCGAGCTTCTAAACAGAAAATGGCTCACAGAAATATGTTAAATGAAGTTACTTTAATAGTGAAAATGTTGACATGCAAACATAAAATAAATAATTCTAGAATATGTTTGGATGAGTGATGGACAAAATTGATTCTAACATAATTGATTTTAGTAGAATTGATTTTAGCAGAATTGAGTTTCACAAAATCGATTTATATTTGAATACATTTATGTAAAAGTGAGTTGAACAATAAATTTTAATATAAAAATCACTCAGAATCAATTCTGGAAACAAAAACTACAAATTCTAGCTTCAAGTAAAATCAATTCTGAAGGCATAATCAATTCTACTTTTGATAAATCAAACACCTCAAAATCACTCATAATCAATTTTATACCTCTAGAATTAATTTTAGATCTTCCAAAAGCCAATCCAAACATGCTATAAGTGTTCTTGCTTTTCTCAATCTCATTGTGCCATTGATTCAACCATTAGATAAAGTCGAAACATCTGTCAAAGAACAAGTCAAAATCTAATCACCAAGTCAAAACTTACTACATACTAGTAGTACTATAAGTTTTTAGGTAAAGTTAATATTCTAATATACAAATATTTTTGTATTTCTCATCTTGGGACCTGTAATCTACCTTTGAAACTCTAAATACACAAAAAAATTTCCTACATTATTGTGTTGTACAAAGAAATGTACTATTTGTACAAGCCGAGTAGTTGTTAAATGGCAGAACCAAGACAAATACAAATGTACACTTGCACAATTTGTTGTAACTTGTAAGCTATGATGTTGTAATTGTAGACTTTCCAGAACCATCAATTGCAATTTCAAACAAATCAGCCTCAGACTCTTGATCAAAATCCATGGTTGAACTATTGTTCACATTGTTATTGTTATGGCTTCCTTTGTTTGTAGTCCTATTAAGCCACTGAGAATCAATCCTACCCATAGAAAACAGTTCCCTGCTATCATCATAACCTATGGTTGCAGCAGGAGAATTTACCAGCGGTGCTACCAAACATGGATTCGGTGTTCTTTGAGCATTCGCAGGTGCATATTTAAATGCATTTTGTCCGAAATTAACCAATACCGTAATGTCTATATTTGCAGCCAATGTTGGATACAACGGAGTGCTGAATTCTTCTGTCTGGCAGTGGATTACATGCATCAATTCCGAGTCTAACGTGAAGAAAACTTTCTTATGCCTTGGATCAAATCCACAACCAATCACTTTATCGGTTCCTATCCAATCTGCTTTCTCAGATTCGAAAACAAGTTTCATTCCTGTAACCAAGTATTTACACTTAGATGTCTCAAAACAACAATATAAAATACTATAATATATCAGAAACATGAAACATGTTTGTTCCTTGTAGGTTCTATGAAGTATATGTCTTATGTGTTATTCTATTCTATTTTTTTGAAACCCAATAGACAAAATAAACTAATGAAATAATTATGATGTATGACATGACCATGTGGTTATAGTGTGGGTTGTGTAACATTTCATGTGTGGCATTCATAATGTTGATGTTTAAGATGGAATTTTGTCTTGAAGTGAAAACAAAAAGGGTATGCAAAATTGAAATAAGCTATGAATTGTTTTTATAAGCTATCCTAAACAATTTATAGAAATAAGCTGAAAACAAAAAGCTTATGAACATGAACTGTATCTATAAGCTCTCTTTAATAGTCTCACAAAGATAATCAATAGTAGCAGAGCCATCTTTGAGAGAATGCAAGGCAGGCTACCGCACAAGGCCTAAAAGTTTTCACAATTAAACCATAGTTATTAAATAGAGCCTTATAAAATATTAGTCATAGTTAAACCCTAGTTAGATAAAATCTCTATTTGTTTTTTCATGATTAAACTGCTGACTAATCTACACTAGATTTCCAAAAACTTGATAGTCATAGATGGAAACTACGTGAGTGAACTGATCTAAACAAAATTAATAGATTTGCTAAAAATGCAACTACATGAGTGAACATGACCTTGGAAAACAATAAGCAAAATGCAAGAGAAGTATCAATTACCATCAAGATAAACAGAACCATTTGAGTTGAAACCAACGCTACCAGGATAACTACCAGGAACTTTCAAAACAACCGGACCACCAATAGTCAATCCCAACGAAAACATCACCGATTCACTCTTGTTCCCACCACCATCTCTACCACCAACCTTCATTTCTTCAACACTACTCACTTTACTATTCTTACCACCACTCGTAACATGAATCAACGCCTCCGAGTTCCCTTTCGCAATAAGCATAGCCTTATCACCTTCCACACTCTTCCTAACTGATTCAAACTCATCGCTAATCGACGAATTCAAAATCGTAATCTCAAAATAAGACTCTTGCGGAAAAACACAATTTCCCAAAACAGGGCCAGGTAACGGCAAAGCAGTTCTAATAACAGAATTCACAACAGAATTAGAATAACCGTTTTGATTTTGAATAATTTGATTCAATTTTTTGATTCCAGAATTTAACCTAACCTTCTGCATAAACTCATCTGATTCACTTGAAACCTCCCAACTAATCTCAGCTTCTGATGATTTATAATCAGGTGCCGCAAATGAGCCTAACAGTGTAGACCTTTTAGATGGAGAAGGCATGTAACTTTTATAGCTAGTGAAAGCGAATCTCGACCATCCGTTTTCCACTGCATCAACGGCCATAGATGGATTATTAATCCAACTGAACAAACCTGTTGCTGTTCTTTTTCCAGACCGAAACAGAGAATGATTGTGATTGCTACTTTTATTCTTGTTACCTTGATCTATTTGAATTTGATGATGAACACTTGGCATGTGATGATGAATTCTAGTTCTAGAACTTTCTATTCTGGTTAAATTTCCTTGTTCAGAAGAAGAATCTCTACGGTTTCTTCTGTAGCACCAACGGCGACAGATTAGAATCAAGAGTATGGTTGAAACGCATCCAACGGTGGAGGCTATAACTGCAATATGTATCCACATCTTTTGTTGAATTTGGGTTGTTGTTTTTCTTCTGAATATTGAATTGAAGGGTTTGAGTTTGGAGAAGGGATGGTGAAGGAAGAGAAAGAAAAATGGAACAACCAGGGTGATGGTGCGCGTGGACTATGACTAAGGACTGGTTCAATAAAAGCGAGCAATTAATAAAAAATATGTTACCCAAAACATTAAATGAAATGGCATACAACAATTAGAAGGTTTTTCTTGTGGGTTGATTAATAAATATAATAATAGTCCTCATTGTTGATCGGTTCTTGTATATAAATTCTAGATAAATAGGTCAAAGAGAAATAAAAATACGACTTCGTTCAGAGAAAAATTTTGCATGTAGTTTTTTTAATTAATATTTTTATTGTATATAGTAATTGTTTGTAAATTATTAATTATACAAAAATGTTAAAATATCATTTTATGTATGAATAGGTTGAATTTTTAGTTTTCATCAAATTGATAGTATTAATTAAGAGTGATTAAATTCAAATTGATTTAAATAAATTTATAAATTAGTTTAAAAAAATAAAAAATCACAAAAAGAAAATATTATTGTATATATTTGATCAGTTTGTTTCAGATCAATTATTTTATTAACATTTGAAAAATCGATTCAAATTAAATCAAATTATATATATATATATATATATATATATATATATATATATATATATATATATATATATATATATATATATATATATATATATATATATATATATATATATATATATATATATATATATATATATATATATATATATAATTTATTTTTTTATTAATATGATATGTTGTGTTGATTTATTATTTAATATTTATTTTTTAAATTATATTTACTAACTTAATTTAATCTATTTATTTTTATTGTTTTAACTATTTTATTTATTTTATTTTATAATATGTTTAATATATTATATATTATATTAATTTTATAATTTATCAATAGTTTTTTAATATTAATAAAAAATATAATATGATTTTAAAAAATTATCTCAAATTAAACTGTCTAAAGTTGAATTAAAATATTTTTGGTAATCAATAATCTAAATTTTAATTAAAACATAAATATATTTATGTTTAAATCAAATGAAATTTTTTTAGAAAAAAATGGATCTAAATCACGTTATGATCATCCCTAATATTAATAAGAGACTTATATTTTAGAATTCTTTTATAATTTTTAATACATCCTATAACTTTATAACGTAAAATTCTAAAAATATTTTCGAATTTTGAAAATATATTTTTTTGACATATCTCACACATATATAATTTGTTCATTTTGAGTCAAACCCTATTTTTATGTCTAAATATATTTCGAAAATATATTTCTAAAACAACTTGAAAAGAGCTTATACTGATTTTATGGCACTGATAAATCTCTAAGTTGGTTTTGGAAATTTCATTCATGTGAGTGTAACTTTATTATTAGATATTTTGCATGATGTCAAAATTAAGAAAACTTAACATTTCTGTATATTGGACGATATCTCTATGTCATGTGGCACTCTCTTGCATTAGAGGTATTAAGAATCATTAAAAACCATTTTGAAATTAACCAAAATCTTGAAAATTAATTTTCTGCATAAAAATTACTTGCATGTGCCGGCACATATGTGTTTCAAACCGACACATGTAACTCAATAATGAAGTTTGTAGCTTCTGTTTGACATAGGCCGACACATGCATCACATAGACCGACACATACTGTAACTTTCAGTTTTATGTGTCGACACATATGATTTTTCAGGTTGACACATCTACTGCAGTATTAAAGCATGTAGCCACTGACTTGCATAAGCCGACACATCTGTCTTTTCAGCCCGGCACATAATGTTAATTTTTTACTTATGTGTCGGGACATACATATTTAAGGTCGGCACATACTGTTTGATTGGGTCAAATTTTCAATTCTTTTTAATTCTGAAAATTACCTCTTTGCACATAAACTTCCACAACTATAAATACATCATTCATGCATCATTTCAACTTGATAAAACGATAAACACTTACCACCATTTCTCTTCGCCTTCAACCTCCAACATAAGCATACACACTGATAAGTCACACATAAACATCTTTTGTCGGGGTTTCATCTAGGCGGGGTTTGATAACGTCTAATTAGGTTTTTCTGTAATCGAGAATATTAGGTTGAGAATTGTGGGGAGTTTCATCCGGAAAAATCTAGGGTTTGTCCTCCAACATCTTTGGTAGATTTGGGGGTTTTGTTCAAGACTTCCAAAAGAGGATTGCGGCCAAGTGAAAAGTCTTTCAAGTTTGGTACCCAAGGAAATAGCGAGAGAACGGTGAATAAAATTTAAAGGTCTTGTGTTCAATAGTTACAATTGATAGTGCACGAAAGAGCTTTGGAGTTTGGTACCCAAAGGAGTAACAAGATTTGATAAATCAATTGGGAGCTATTATGTCTTTGTCTTATTGAAGATCAAAGGAAGAGAATGGGTTGAACCAACATCAAACGGTTAGGGTTTGTAGGATTGCTTTTGAACACTTCTCTTGTAATCATATTTTATGCAAAGAAAGAAATTTATCTCAATTCTAAAATGGAATTAGGGAGAGACGTAGCCATAGCGAGGACGAATAATGAACTTCCTAAACAAATCTTTGTGCCGCTCTCTCTTATCTCTTTACTTGCTTTACTTTTCATTAAGTAATTTGTTAAATGACATTGATTGATCGATCGATTCGTAATAATTTTTCTGTGACTATTTTTGTTTTGAATTGGTTTTTGATTAGATTATAATCACTTTGATTATAAGTACTTTTTCATATCAACACAACTCAAGAAAAAATTCTGAAAATTCGTTCGCACACAAAGTGTTTTACAAATTGCATTGTTCGATATTTTTGTTTGATTTCATTAGAAATATAAAACCTTTGTGTTTGATATTAAATGGTTAATTGGATGATATTATGTTGATTGATTTTATCATGATCTTACGCTCAACATTGTTTTTCAAATAAGTTTTTAAATAATTATTTTTGAAATATATTTTTAAATGGGGATCTATTAACCCCCTCTAGATAAGTCATTGTAGGCTAACAAGTGATATCAGAGCTCCGGTTGATTTCGTGCTTCGAAACTCTTATTAGAGAATGGCGTACAAACCTAAAGAGGATTACAGAACAACCCCAATCTTTTTAGGAGAAAACTATTGTTATTGGAAAGCTTGTATGAACATTCATGTTAACTCATATGATAAAGGTGTGTGAGATACTATTTTAAATGGTCCAACACCGATAACACACGTTATTGATGGTGGTGTCACACCTAAGCTGGAATTACTATGGAATAATGATGATAAGAAAAATACATTAAAACTCATTAATCGTTTGAATGCACTTGGTTCTTATTTTCAATGAGATTGCTACTAACAAAGTTGTGATATGTCTTACTAGGAATTGACAATCGAAGGTCACCACGATCAAGGAAACCAATGATCTTACAACACTTGATCTCACTACATTGTTTGGTAAGTTTGAAGAACATGAGCAATAACTTACTTGCTTACACAAGCATGAGAAAAAGCTCGAGAAAAAGAAGAAAAATGAGAAAGTCACAAATAAGGAGGAAGGAACAAAGTCTCAAGCTCTTAGGAATTATTGTTCAAGGTTCTCAAAAGGTGAGCAAATTGATAGTGATTCTAGTGACGGTAAAGATTTAAATTGTCACTATGGTTGCAAGAAAGGCCACACGATTGAAAATTTTAAATTTAGGAGTTTTTTTATTTATTTCTAAAGGTGTTTTTCAATGGTTGCCCAAATGAAACCAATTTTCACTAACCCCTAAGGACCCAATGAAGATTGAGTAACTAGCTTGTCTTGTTGATATTCTAGGAAAATTGTCTTGACTCTATGAATAGAATATAGATTCTCATTTATGGTGGCTCAAGGCATATGATGGGTAATATATTTTAATCCTATTGTATATGTGTCAAGAAGACGGATTATGTGATCTATAAAGCAACGACAAGTATTGTTTAATTGGTAAAATATGCATAAATTACTTTTGATGTATCTGAGAATACTCTAAAAAGGTATTTCATTTTATGATGTAGGTGTATCTTCAAGAGAAATACTCAATGACGCCGAAGAAGGAATTGATCAACTTGAATCAGTGAAACATAAGGAGGAGAAAAATAACTATCATGAAAAGGATAAAGATGAAAGTTCAATCAAAATGAATGATCATCAAATCAATAAAAAGTGGTAAGATCGTGGGTTTCTAAAAGTATTTGTGGCATACTTTGCATTTGGTTCAACTTTCTTTCGAGAGTTTCTTGTGAAATGCAAGTGTATCCTCCGCCATATTAAGGTGAGGTAGTATCGATTCAATTTTCACTTTGTTAGTATTTTTTTCTCTTTTACTTGTTTATTTTTCTAAGTACATGAAATAATTGGTGTATGATAAATATATTATGAGAACTCATTTGCAAAATAATTCTTAATTGATAATCAATGTGACTTATCAATTTATATACTTGAAATGACCTCATTATATTTATTTTCATGTATTCCTTTTTATTATTATTTATAAACACTTATGTGTACATAAGCATGTTTAGCTTCATTAAACATCAATCATAACACGTTTGATATTATATCATATTTGGTTCTAATAACATGCAACTTATCAAGGAGTTATCTAAGCTTATGAAGAGAAAGTTTGAAATGAGTCTCATGGGGAGTTTAACTACTTTCTCGAACTTCAAATAAAGAAACTCAAGGAAGGAAAATTTGTATGTAAAACCAAGTATTGTCTCAAATTACTGAAACAATTTGGAATGGATGGTGTAAAGGAAATTGATACACCTATGGAAACAAATGGCAATTTGGATAAAGATGAAAAGGGTAAGAATGTTGAAGTCAAGAAATATAGAGGGATGATTGGATCTCTTCTATATCTTAGAGCATCTAGGCCCGATCTTATGTTTAGCGTTTGCATGTGTGCATGATATCAACCGACTTCTAAG